ACTTTTTGAAGTCCCTGTGTATATAAATCAGAAATTTTTAGAGAGAGATATTTAAATATATAAATGTATATACTTTTATTTACTCTAGAAGTTCTGGTATTTTCTTTCTACATCCCCTAGGTATATGATAATCACATTTTGGTGACTATTGATCTGAAAGTCCATAACAAATATTTATCCTAAGCTTTTAATCACATAGCTTAAAAAAGTTTGACATTGCCAGTCAAACTTTTTTCTTCTATCATTATTAAAGTCTACCTTTCGACCTCTTTAAGTGCTTGTTAACAAGACCAATCTTAAACCTGTCCAGTGTTCACTAACTGGTTAACTGTAAGGCCAAAACACAGTTGCAGGAGACATCTAAATTATTATTATTTTAAGTGGCAAGATTTCAGCCTAACCAAAGAAAAACTCTGTGGGCACATTTTGTGTATTTCTGCATGCCTTCCTCCAATAAAAAGGAAGAATAATGTTCACATGAGAAAGCTAATGTTGTGCCTGCTTTGGCAGCACATGTACTAAAAGAAAGCAAATGTACAAGATTCAGAGTAAGATGTAGTCAAAGTCTCACTGATTTTGATCATTTTGTATATCGTATTAATGAATTATTTATTTTAATGACTGTACTCAAACACATTTCAAGGAAACATCAGCCAGTCTAGATTCAAATATCTTCATTTTCTCTAATAGAATAAAAAAAGTAGAGCCAACAAGAAAATAATTTGTATATGTCACTCTGCTCCCATTAAACAATTTAGGGGAAAAAAATCAAACAAAAAGACCAGTTATTAAGCATTCATTCCAAGTACAAACAATGCACTAGGCACTGGTCTTTAAAAAACCAGACAATTAGAAAGGAACTTCAAGATCAAGGCCAAATATCCAACCATCATTGCTTATATCTGCTCTACAACAGCGCCGCCAAGTGGTAGTTTATGTAACTTGTGTTCAAACAAATTCAGCAACAGAATTTATCTGAAAAAGCAGTCGACGGCGTTTGCTGACAACTCTGATGATTCAAAACAAATTGAACCAAAATATTTTTTCTAGTGATAACTTTATCTAGTGACCCTATTTTTATTCTCGGAGGCCATAAAAAACAAATCTAATCACTCGTTCATTTGACAGTCTTTCAAATAACTACTGTAAACCTCACTTATTCTTTTTAAATGAAATAACCAAACTTAACTCTGCAATTTCTCAAGTAGGTTTAAAGTTTTTCTCATGACAACTTTCAAGAAGGAAATGTAAAGATAAGAATATAAGGCCTGAAGTTACAGCAATGTACAAAACTAAACATATCCCTAGTTGTAAATGTTTAAGCAACGATTTCAATATAAACTAATATTTTAAATTGTTGAATATCTTGAGCAAACTTACTTCTAAACAGATTTGTAGGAAGATAACTCATTAATATAGCAGAGATTCATTTAATATTTTAATAAAGTTTTCTATATTGGCCCAGCAGGTGGCATGGAGGTTAAGATACTGGATTCCACAGGTTGACAGCAGTTTGAGTCCTGGACCTGGGGACTTGAAAGTCATGCCAGACATGTATATGTGCATGTCTGAAATCCCAGAGGGGAACAGAGGAGAAGGGATTGTGGTATGATCATTTCCCCCCAGGAGATGATTTCTCACTCTCTCGTGGGCTCTCTCCAGAAAACACATACATCCTATAGCAAAAACTAAAAAATGTATTTTTCCACACATTAAATACATTTAAATTAGCATTCTTTATTTTTTAAAGTACACCATCAATGACCAATTTAGAAAATTTACATAATCCATCATCTTTTTAAAAAAAATTACCAGAGGGCATGTGTGCTTGCCAGGAAAGAGACACAGACACAGACACAGACATACACATACACATACACATACACATACACATACACATACACACACACACACACACACACACATACACACAGAAAATTAGAAAGGAAATCACCCTCCATTCCCCATGAGGAATGGTCATACCACAATCCCTTCTCTTCTCCCTCCTTTTGGGGTTCTGGGCATACATGCACATGCATCTGGTGTGTTGCTGTGTCTGGGACTTGAACAGTATTGTTGACCATGTGGGATCCAGCCACCTTAAATACCATCCCACCAGCTGACCCATATCCATCATTATTTTAAAAGAAGAAATAAATGTTTTCAATAGTACAATCCTGAAATATTTCAGGAAAGTAGCCAAAGATAGCAAGTTTGGGGCCAACCCCATAGCTTAATGGTTAAAAAAGGCGGATCAGGGATCAGCAGTTAGTGTAATAGCTATGCCACTGAACTCCCATGTAGTCAACCGTGGTTCAAGTCCTAGACCTGTGGTTTAAACTCAACACTGGGCGCATGTGTGTGTGTGCCCAAGATTCTGAGAGGAGAATGGAGAAGAGATTGCGGCATGGCCATCCCCCCTGGGGGGGTGATTTCTCGCTTTCTGTCTCTCTGTCTTTCTGGCAAGTGCACGTGCCCTATAGCAAAAAACCTCAAAAAAAAAAAAAAGCTGGATCACACATGGACACATGGCCAGTCATAGTTGGAATCTCATCCCTAGTGGCTTGAAAAACATGCCAGGCATGGATGTGTTCATGCCTAAATTTTCAATAGGAGAAATGAGGAAAAAGGGATTGGAACACATACTCTGTGAGAGATGTTTTCTCCTTCTTTCAATTTGCTTCTTTGACAAGGGTATGTGGAAATTTTCTTAAATGGTCAAGTCATTAAAATAACAATACATTCACAAGGAACATTATATTCTATTTTGTTTTAAGCTCACTGTGAGCAAGATTTGCTAACCAGGCAATGAAAATTACAGATATTTGGTATTGAAAGTTTTGCATAGTATAAATAGACATTATTAGTTCACTTAGAACAAAAATAATAATCTTTATTCAGCATACCAGGATTACTTTTTCCTGATGTACCTCAGTGTCTTAGGTCCAACTCCAAGCCAATTACTTACTACCTGGTTCAGATTTTAGTTATACTAATATTCACATGGAAAATGTTCACATAAATGATTCTCCTATATAACTTATGTTTATCCTTTAATGCAAAAATATCTTAGTCATTTTGTACATATCGATTTTCTAAGACTTTACTTATTTCACTTTCTATAAAAAGAAGTTGAAACTGAATTGAACCATTTCCCACAGATTTGGGCACAACATGACCATCAATTGTACTGTAGAGCCATACTGCACGCTTAGCTTTGATTGTATCAAGCATGTTTTCTCACCTTTGTGTTATGCCATCATCATATTCTTGATGTATCTGATACCTAGACAAAAACCTAAGTGTGATCGTTAGGCTCCTAACTATGAAAGGCCTGCACTTTGTGACATCTGGTTATTCAGGTTATATAACAGCATATCTTTCACACTGCCGACTCATTTGTACTAACAGCTTCAGAAATAAAGAGAACAAATAGCAGTGTAGTCTAAATATATGAGGGGTCTTTAAAAAATTTATGGAAAAAATATATTACCAAAAAACTGCATGCATTTCAACAGTTTTTGCAGTAAAATAAACTCAAATTTTGATACAATTTTTCCACAAATCTTTTGAAGTACCCTAGCATATGAAGTGTAAGAACATATTATATGACTATGATTATATTGTATATAAATAATTGTATTTAGCATATATAAAATGTATCAATGAAAGTACAGATCTAAATTCAAGTCTACAAAAAGAAAAGTCTAGTACAAGAAAACTAAGACATAATTTTGTCTGACTATTTATGAGGCTAACACAACAGAACTTTTGAAAAACACTAGACATTCTTGGGACCAGCAGTTAGCGTAATGGCTATGTCACTGGACTCCCATGTAGTCAACCTGGTTCGAGTCCCAGACCCAGGGACTTAAACTCATGCCAGGCGCATGTGCGTGTGTGCCCAAGATCCCAAGAGGAGAATGGAGGGGAGGATTTTGCAGCATGGTTATCCCCCCAGGGGGGTGATTTCTCGCCTTCAGTCTCTCTGTCTCTCTCTCTCTCTGTCTTTCTGGCAAGCACACGCGTCCTATAGCAAAAACCTCTCCCCAAAAAATAGTAAAACACTAGACATTCTCAAAAGCATCAGAAATATTCATAAACTACAAAATGCATAAATCAGAATTACAGAAAATATATTTTGTTCCTTCTATAAACTGAACAAATTACAAAATTAACAACTCTTTCTCTTTCTCTCACTTTGTTAATTAACAGTTAAAAAAAAAAAAACTGCCTAAAGAAATTGACCTATTTCTCTGTACTGAATAAGTTCCTATGACTCAACTTTTAGAGAAACTGCTCTAAGCTATCAAAGATTAGGGGCTTACATAATATATTACTCAATGATCTTGACTGCAAAAAGATTCTCATTGTTCTGAATTAATTTTATCAGGAAAAAAGAAAAAATGTGATGTGGCATTTGAGTAACTAATGATTTATTTTACTTTCAATTTTTCCTACTAAAGATGAGAAGAAACAAAGAAGACATTTCAGAAATTAGTCCTATTAATCTACTTGACTTGAATAAATTAAAATTACTCTACTCGCTGATAATACTGCACACTATTGATTTTTAAAAAGCAATAAATAAGAAAGTAAACAGGGATAAAATATCTCATTAAAAAAGTTATCCTATAAAACATCATTTTTTCTGTATACAGTTCAAAACTGCCCAGTTAACTTATCTCCAATGTCTTGCAGTTGTAGATAAATAATAGAAACTGCATACTGAATTAAAACTAATCGAGATGAGAAAAACTTTCTGGTGACATTTGTAACTGGCTATATATCACTACGGTATAACCATTCTAACAGCTAAGGAAATCGTGAAATAAAAGATGTATTCTTCATTCTTTTGATCTTAGACCAAATAAATTACTCTGTTCCCCTATCTGTAACGTAAGTTGAGTTCAAACACTGTGGAAATTTATTATTGGTAAAATGCTTCCATCCAATCTTCAGGTAAATGTTATACAAAAAATTAAATGTTTGATTCATACCTTGTTTTAATTCCAAACCTTCAGGTTGCTTATTCTCTCTCAGGGATGAAGTAGAATCTACAGAGATGTCTTGCCTGAAAAATGAAAACAAATAAGCACAATCTTTACATCTTTATTCAGTCTAATAATATTTACTGCCCAGGTTTCTAGAATTAAGTTATGCAACTGAAAAAATATACTAAACTCTTCTAAGCTCCAAGGGTGCAATTTAGTGCACTCCGAAAACTCAGCAATACGTATGGAAGTGTCAGAAATAGCAATACAAACTACTACCAATTTAAGCTGTAGAACTTTGTAAAATCCAAGGGCACACCTGCAAGGAACATGGAGTTAATTTTTCCTCTCTTTCAATAATCTGCAGAGTAGGTGATGGCAGAAATCGCAACTCACAGTAAGATTCGATAATTTTTCAAATTCAACTGTTAAAATTTAATGGGCATTTTGGGACCAGCAGTTGGCGTAATGGCTATGTCGCTGTATTCCCATGTAGTCGACAGCGGTTTGAGTACCGGATTCGGTGGCTTAAACTCATGCGTGTGCCCAAGATCCCGAGAAGAGAATGGAGGAGAAGGGATTGCTGAGTGGCCATCCCCCCTGGGGGGTGATTTCTCTGTCTCTGTCTTTCTGGCAAGCGCATGCGCCCTGCAGCAAAAACCTCGCTAAATAAATAAATTAAATAATTTAAAAAAAAAATTAACGGGCATTTTGACAATCAACTTACTTTATATTCATCTAACAATATACCTCAAATGTGATGTCTATGACACATGGAAAAACACATATTTTATATGTAATATACACATTTAATCCAAATAAATGGATTAACTATAGAGAATCCAAAAAAGTTTCAATTGACTATGTTCTGCAATAAACCTGGGCAATAAAAAGTCACACAGAGGGTCCAGCAGTTGGCATAAGTCCCAGACCCTCTGGCTTAAACTCACGTTGTACGTGTGTGCATGCATGCCCAAGATCCTGAGAGAAGGGATTGCGGCATGGACATACCCCTGGTGGGTGATTTCTCACTTTCTGTCTCTCTGGTGAATGCACGAAAAAAAAAAAAAAAAAAAAAAAAAAAAAAATCCCCCCCAAAAAAAGACACAGAGAAAGTGACCCAATAAATTAATAGTCTTTTCTGGATGGCATTATTATATAATCTCAATACTGACGCTATAAATACTTTTTAGTAAAACGTCAAAAAACTAATTATAAATATTTAAATGTGGTAAGTTGCCATTTTCTTCAAAATTGTTTATTATCTTTTGATAATTTTTTTACACACTGTGAGGCTAACTAGAAATATTTAGGACATTTTTCTACTTACAAAACAACTTCTACCAAAGTAACAGTAACAAATATCTCAAATAACCAAAGAATTAAAAATGATAATAGGGGCCAGCAGATGGTATAGTGGTCAAGGTGCTGGACTCTCACATGGCTGACGGCAGTTCAGGTCCTGGACCAGTGCCTTGAAACTCAGCGTGGGCATGCCTGCCCAAAATCCCAAGAGGAGAACAGAGGAGAAGGGGCTGTGGTGTGGCCATACTCCCAGGGGCTGATTTCCTGCTTTCTGTCTCTCCGTCTCTCTCTGTTTCTCCAGCAAGTGCATATGCCCTATAGCAAAAAAATTTCCCTCTTCCCCCCAAAAATTTAATAGAAAAACTTATGATCATTTCTTTAAGAAATGTATTATTTTCTTTCCAGTCAACATATTCTGGCACTTGTGTATTTCATATTAAGCCTTGACTAATACAAAGACAAATCTAGAAACAATAAAATTATTTGGCATTGGTATTAATTATGACATCTAAGAGATTTACTTACTTTTATATTATAATTAAAATATTTGAAATTTTTATGACTATTTCTGTCTAATGTTACCTATTCAGATTTCTTCCTTCACCAGAATAACCAACAGATCCCAAGGAGAGTGTCAATAATTTTTGGCAATCCAAGGACAGATTATATGTCAGTATATTACAGTACACTGAGGGCTTTTTGCACAGGAGCCAGCAGCTGGCACGGTGGTTGAGGCACTGGAATCCAACATGGACAACTGCAGTTCAAGTCACAGACCTGGTGGGTTGCTTTCTGTTTCTCTCTCTCTGTCTCTGTCTCTCTCTGGTGAGTACACATGTCCTATAGCAAATTACAAAAAAAAAAAAAAAAAGGAAGTAAATAATAAATGTGTTACTCCAAGACTTCATTACCTACTGAAAGAATATATTTCTAAGTATGTTTCTTACAAGAAAACATTTCTTTCTTTCTTTCTTTCTTTTTTCTTTCTTTTTTTTTTTTTTAGGTTTTGGCTGTAGGGCCATATATGCCTGCTGGAGAGAGGCAGAGACATAGAGGCACGGAGTGAGAAATCATCCCCACAGAGGAGATGGCCACATCTCAATCCCTTCTCCATTCTCCTCTTGGGACTTTGGGCACACATGCTCAAGAGCCCAATGTGATTTCAAGCCCATTAGAATGGGAACTAGAACATGGAGTTGGCTATGTAGGATCCAGGTGCCTTAACCTTCACGCCACCTGCTGGCCCCTAAAATGTTTGCCTTTACACATCCTTCAACGGTACTTGATTCTTCTAAACACATAAGGGGATACTTCGAAAAGTTTGTGGGAAATGGCTTTAAAGTATGAGTTTATTTTGGTGGGAAAAATATTGAAATTTATGTAGTTCCTTCAAAATACACTTTTGCATGAACTTTTGAAGACCCCCTTGTAAACCTACATTTACAAAAGAAGACTTAAAATGCAACATCATCAACAAAAGGAAGATGGACTTGTGTAATACCCTAAAGATGACACATTACCTAAATAATACTCTAGCAGAAAATATACAATCTTTATTATGAAGAAACACTAATCCAAAAATGGAAATATGTAATATTCTATTGAGAGAAATTGGGTGTCAATGTTATATTTAAAAATAAAAAGGCTATGGAAATATTCCAAGTTAAAAGAGGTTAAAGAGCCATGATAGGGACCAGCACATAGCATAATAATTACATCGCTGGACTCCCACGTAGTTGACAGAGGTTCAAGTCCAAGACCCAGGGGCTTAAAACTCACACCAGGTGCGTGTGCATTCTTGCATGACCAAAATCCCAAAAGGAGAATGGAGGAGAGGGGATTGTGGCATGGCCATCCCACCTGGGGGGTGATTTCTCACTTTCTGTCTCTCTCTCTCTCTCTGTCTCTCTGGTAAGCGCTCATGCCCTAGAGCAAAAATCCTCTCTCTGAAAAAAAAAAAAAAAGGGCCATGATAATTCAGTGACTAACACAAGAGTACTGAACTAGAGGGGAAAATGTTATAAAGACCACCAATAAGTCAAAAGACAAACTGAAATACTAAGAGTAGATTAGATGAAAATATTGTATCAATGTTAGACTTACTGAAGTTGATACTATGTTGTGGTTACGTAACAATATCACTGTACTTTGGAAAAAGACAACAGAGCATTTAGAGATAAAGTAACTTAGCCTCAAAGGTTTCATTAAAAAAAAGAAAAGACACACAGGGGCCAGCAGCTGGCGTGGTGGTTAAGGCACTGGACTCCTACATGCTGACCATGGAATCCACGACCCAGTGGCTTTGAAAATCATATGGGGTGTGTATATGAGAATGTCCAAAGTCCCAAGAGAAGAATGGAGGAGATAGTGGAATGGCCACCCCATCCCCTTGGGAGGGGGTAATTTCTCACTCCCATCCCCCGTGTTTCTGTATCTCTCTGGCAAAGTGCACAAGCCCTTTAACAAAAAATCATAGGAAAAAAAAAAAAAAGACACATATATATAAAGGCAAGTTACATAAATAGGATGAAGTGCTAATAGGCAAATCTAGATAAAGGATATTTCTTGTACTGTTCTTATTCTTGCAATAATTTAATAAATCTAAAATTATTTCCAAATGAAATTTTAATTAATAATAAATAAAAACTGGCCTCTCTGTGAATGCTAATTAAATCCCCTTCACATAAAATTGGACTCCTCTATAAAGACTACCTGTTGTCATAAACAATTTTAGTGCCCAATGTGAACTTTAAAACATTCTACTTGATCTTAAGTTGGGTTTGATGAGGCTGTTGAAGAAATCATGAATAGAATTTCAGACTGTAGGTACAGTACACCACCCTGTGGCAAAAAAGTGAACAGCTAGAGTTTCAGTATTATGTGAAGAAAAAAAATCAAAAATAGTTTTCAATAGTTTGAAATTTAAAATCTGTATTTGCTAATTTTTCTAAAATGTAAACTTTACAAATAAATTCAGAGTTTTCTAATACAATATGCTATCTCCACTAAACTGCATGAAAGGCTTACAAAAAGGAAATGTCTTGAAGTAAAAAATTACATTTACATGTATTTTTATTTCTAGTTTTATGAAAATAAAAAATCTCTACTCTCCGATGATACAAAATACCAGAATTAGAAAAACTAAAGTGTTCCAACGTACATTTAACTATTTCTATCAAACACTTTAAAAACCTATGCAAGAATTTTAAAACATCTAGAAAGAGAGGAGGAGGAAAAGGGAGAGAATATATTGCCAAAGGCAATTTGAGTTAAGAATTTTGCAATGACCTTTATATTCCCTTCTACTAAAAAATGAAAGAAAATGACTGTTTTTATTTGTCTGTTTCCTTCTTCCATCTGCATGCACCTGTTGTTTTTATTTATTACAGAGAGTGCATGGTGAGGGAGCACCCTAGACAGATCTCCCATGCCAGGCTCTCCTTCCTCTAGTCCTCCATCTCCTTAGGATTCTGGACACAAATACATGCCCCTGGTGTATTTTCAAGTGGAACAGGGGACCTGAACCCATCATTGGCCATGTAGCTCCTAGCACCATAGTTCAGCACACTAACAACTACACCACCAAGGCTGCACCTGTAACATACCTTCTTTAAAGCAGTCTCATTTACTAGCTGGGCTGTGAATTGTAAGAGAGCCCTATACTGATCCTTGCAATTTAAGTGATCAAATCAGTAACAGTCCAACTTACTTTCTTCTACCCCACATAGAGTTATCTACTCTTAATTCTTTTGTACAATTTATGTTTATTTACTTA